TTGATTCCTCCCCCCCCCCCCCACGAATATTTCACGCGACCTGCCAGCAGGGCAGGGGGAAACGAGCGTTGCTTCCTTCTCTACCCGATTTAAATTAATATTGTTTGCTGTAGGGTACGATATTATCTCGCGCAAACACGACCATGTCCGGACGAGATACGAATTGGAAAGAGATCAAACAGAAAAAAATGACGATACATGTCTGTGTGATGCCATTTATTTCACGTGCACTCGTCGTGTTTTTTGACGAAAAATTTAGTTACAGGGTATGTCGATCGATGAAAAGTAAATGAGCGTTTCTCTTCGCTGTTTAGATATTTCTTTTTTTCGCTTCGTTCTTCATATTTATGATATGTGTATTTTTTCGTATATTTATATATTTATTTATACGTTTATATTTATATATATATATGTTTATTTTTTGTATATTTTGCAACAATTAAAAACGTTCGTTCGGGGAATCGGCGCGTAGAAAATTTCCGGTGCGCCAACATGACCTGCGCAATTAATCCCATTTCCGTTCCTAACCAGCAGATATTCCTTTGAGCCCTCCGTAAACACGTTTCGACCGACGATGGCACGCTTGGGGTTAGCGCTTCGGTAAATTAGCGTTAATTAAACCATGAGTTTTCAGCCATTGTCTGGTCTCGCGCGTACACTTTACGATAGCTTGCAACTTTCCGTGCAATTGTTAACCGCGAAACGAAACGAATCAGGGTCAGGGAGCAACACGTGAATAACGTATTTCCCAAGACGATTTTAACGGCGGAAGTTTTATCCTGTCCGGTTATTTTTTTTTTTTTTCTTTTTTTTTTTGTGAATCGTGCCGAAGGAATAATGCAAAAGTTACCGCATGCACAGGAAATTTACAAAACTGCAAAAATGGAATACTTGCAACTCTTAACGCTGGAACAACCGACGACTAAAACGTAAAATTTCCACTAGAGATGTTAAAGCAAAAGAAATAAAATAACTTTATAAATTTATAAAATAATAACTTTATAAAATAACTTTATATATTTATAAACTGATAACTTTATAAAATAACTTTATAAATTTATAAAATGATAACTTTATAAAATAACTTTATAAATTTATAAAATAATAACTTTATGATACAATGGAGTATACAAACTTTTATTTGTATATTTTACTTAAATCTGGGCATTTATTATTAAAGTTATTTAAATCTAATGATAATTTTAATACGCCGTTTCACGTCTAAAAAATCTCAAAAACAAAAATCATAAACATGGTCATTTCGACCATTTTATGACGGTAGTTAACTAGCGTTGAAACGCCAATTAAAATAAATCAGTGTTTTTCAACTGCTCGTTGAAAGTGCTCAAACATTTCGAATTCATTGACCTCTCGGCAAATTTCACAATCAGCTTTAACAGGCCTTCTGTGTCACTTTAGCGAACGTATCAGATAATTGAGAACCGCTCTAAAGTATCTTCTTCACGTTGGATTAAGCATATATTCACACGGATTCGCACGAACACGCGTGCAATCATTTCGAGCCAAAGGGGGGAGGGGGAGGAGGAGGAGGAGGATTATCCTCACCCTACGTTTCACCTTCTCTCGTCTCTCTCCCTCCAATTGAAAGTCCCAGTCAAAAACAACTGCCTGCTGTCTACGAAGTCCAAGATATGTAGTATGTATCTGCTTACGACCCTTCCGCCGGAAATATCGAATGTACGCGGGATTATTTGAACGCGCATAAGTAACATCACGTGTGTATGTATAAGTAATCAAAGAACCCTAGCTCCAGTGAATATTTTATTGATGCGGACGTACAATCGAAGCCAGCGGAGAGTGGACAAACGTTACGAAAGCTGAAACGGAGCTTGGAGAAGGCGGGCGGGGATTTAAAAAAAAAAAAAAAAAAAAAAAAAAACATGAAACGACGAATTATCGAGCGAGCTGCAGGGCTCGCGATTTCCGTGCGTACGCCGAAGTGCATTATTCATGAGGCAAGATTGCACGAGCCACTTATTACAGCAGCGAAAGTACTTCGGTGCCAGCTTTTAATCCCTAGACCCGGAATACGTGGAAAGCAACGAGTCCGAGTTGTTTCGATTATTACGGTGATAAGCAGCGGTACAATAAAGCGGTCGAACTGCACCGTGCACGTAACTCTCTCGGCGAACGTCTGTAATTAAATTACGAAACTCGCCGTTCAAATTCGGATTTACACGTTCGACGTATATCGTCGAACGGAAGATACGGAGGAAATCTCTTGATATTCGTCGCGATAAACGCGACGTTGGCGACGCGTGAGCACGAATCGTTCGAAAGTCGAACGTATGATTGACACGGCGGTGAATCGCGCGAAGTAGGCAAACGCGTTTGTGTTTTCTTCGGGAGGCGGGATAGAAAAGCGAGGACGGCGCTTGTCGCCGTTGGCGATTTGCACAATTTGTCAGTGGCAGCCGGATGTTACGCGGGGGAAAAGGAAAAGCGTCGACGTCGTCCGACGGTGTGTTTGTTCAGCTACGTTTTTCGCGAGGGAACGAGTTACATTTGGGCGGGGGAGGGGACTCGTGAGAAACGCCTCGGAACGTCTCGGGACCAAGTATCTTTAAAACAGCGTCTTGGAATATCCGTCACTGTCCATTGTTCTGTCATTGAACATTTCGAAATGTTTCTTTCGTATATTTCTTTCGGGGAAAATAAATTCCCGAATTTATTTAGTTTTCAGCGAAAGTGTTTCAAACAGCTTTTCAGACGTGGTTTCCCAAATCACCGATCGATATCGTGAGAAAATGTCAAGTTCATACGAGAGATACGTTTGAAGGCACGAATGACTTGAAGAAACTTAACCAAAAGAACCTTCATGCTTTGAATTTTAAATTAAAAACGCACGACGGCCACCGTTGAATAAAATGTAGGTTACCGTTGAAAATTTTTTATCATTCCGCGCATCGTGCTCTCCGATTGTTAATTGTTTTCCTTTCCCCTTTTTACCCTCTCGCGACTGTGCACAACGGACCGGCACTTCCCTCGGAACATGAAAAACCGGGGATCGGGAACTTTTTAGTCGGCGTCCGCGCGCGCCAACGACAGACTTTGTACTATTGTCCCATTATTCGGAATTAATCTCGCGTCGCACAGTTAAAATGTATGGCCAATTTAAATCTGTCACTGATGCACGACGTGTTTGCACGGATCCGTTCGGATACGTTCCGTGGGCATTGAGCGAGTTTATCAAAACCTTCCGTCAATTTCGCGTTATTTATAGAAGCCCGACTCTCGGCCATTGTACGAACGAGAGGATCGCCACCCATTTGGTGACGTCGATACCTGAAATTCATTCTTGCTAACGTAACATTATCAACCTGCTCGTACCGAGCCGCGTCGATTAGCGTTGTTGTCCGGCTCATAATGCACGAACAATGCGATTCCAATGTGGCATTATCCCATTAAACCAACTGCTTTTATATCTCTCAGACAGGTACGTGTAATCTCTTTTGTTTTCTCACTCTCTCCTGTTTCGCTCGACGAGAAGCAAAGTTTGACGAGCACCGCTCACGACGACACACCTCGGCGAGTACGAGCAAATGGTACGAAAGATGGTACAGATATGTCATTTTTCGAAACGTTCAATGCTCACAACATTGTGCACGAGAGAACGTGGAAACAACGAAGCGTGTTAAACGCGATTTTCCGTGGAAATTGTATATTCCGACCTATTACCTTGATAGAAATAGAAGATCCGACTGGATTGCTGTCAGATGAGGGTCAAGCTGCCACTCGTGATCAATTATGAAGGCAAATATCGATTCCAGGGAACTTTGTGTTCTCAGATGTGACACGTGGACGCAATCTTGAATTGAAGATGTCTCGAGTTTCGGGAGTAAAAGCTGTAACGCTGTCGTTTTGTTGCGGAGATTAACTTGCCAGTTAAATAATTAAGAACGTCCTGGCGAAGCGATATAACTCGTGAAGGCGAGGATAGGGGAAAATTGAAATGGAATTATCCGCAGGCGAGAGTTTCGTCTCGTTAATGTTTCATGATTATCCCTTTAGAGTGTCTCTTCTTTATCGTTCCCTTTCTTCGTTTCGTTGTTCCTCCCATTGGCGGCGATTTATCTAATTACGAAAACCAGCTTTTGACAAGCCGAGCAACTAAGAAAAAAAAAAAAAAAAAAGAAAAAGGAGGAAAAAAAAATTTTCATTTCAACATTTCACAAATGGTGGTTCGTTTTATGAATACTCACAAAGGACAGATCGTCCCTCTCACCCTCGATTCGAGGGTTAATTTCGTTTCCCTGCCAAAGCCTTGTATGTATCATTGTCTCTCGAATTAAGGCGTAACGGCGGCAGTGACATTTCCATCTGTTTACAATCGCGACCAAGGGGTACGTCGGTTTGTCGCCTCCTTTTAAAACGGGGCGGCCGATTCATATATTAGATTAACGATTTAATGGATAACTCGATGAATGACTCTATGTATGGTACGTGTCGGTGCGTAAATTGAACAAATTATAGAAGAATGTCTTTGGTGTTGGTAGATGGACACCCTGTGCATGTGGACATATAGTGACAGCGTTGCAATAGGGCGCGATGGTTCTCAGTTCTCGTTCCAATTTTCTTACACTCGTTAACAACGATACCGATTTCATCGTCGTCGCTTTGCAATAATTCCAACCTTCGAAGATCGTGAACTTTCGTACAAAGTTACTTGCCAATCGTTTGTTAAAAGCTTGCGGTGTCGCTGCGTCGATTCGTACTGAAAGAAAAAAGTATAAAAACGATTTTGGAAGCCTCACGCTCGTGATATTTCGACGTTTCGAGGAGGTCCCTTTCAAAGGTTTCCTTCGGACAACTGTCGACTTATACTCGAAACGTTCTGACGGAGAAGACGAGCCTGGATTTTAATGGATGACGATATGAGCATCCCTGAATCGTACAATGACCAACTGGTCATAATTACGCTGGACGACAAGTGTGCGTGAGCGTGTGTACGTGTGCGTTAAGATCGTAGGAACACGATCACCATCTTAGTCCAAGATCAGTGTCTCGTGAAAAGTCGAAGAGTTCGCGCCTACGTATACCTACGAACGTTGCTCTGTATCATTTCCTGTTCTCCGCATATTTCGCGGCTCGAGGGTGGTGGGAACGTGTATGCATGTTTATACAACATGGTGGTCTTTGGCTGGATGTTTTGCATTTTTATCATTGGTAAGTGCAATGGGGGAAATTTCACCTTTCTTTCCTCAATCTCGCGCTATGATATACATGCCTGTTCAGTCTGTGTCGTTTATACACGTTGATATACCTACGCGGATTACGTCAAAGCAACTGAAAAAGCATTTCTCTCGGTGGTTTTATTTTTTTTAATTCGAAACTTTTGACATTCAAACGTATGCTCAAATTGCGGTGTCTGTTTTCTATCCGGTTCTTTGTTTTCTTTTCCTTTTTTTTTTTTTTTTTTTTTTGACAGTCCTCCATACGCGAAATCATCGTCGAAACGCTAAAAATACACCTAAAGAAAAATTAGATTTCTATTTTTCATCGTCGCTGTTTCAATTGAAAGCAACAATACGTAAGTGAAGTCATTCCGCAAATGCTCGTGCGAAAAAATCTTTGACACGTGTAATCTGACATAGATTTTTCCATTCATGAACGTATCGCACACACAAAATTAGTACATCGTATATATTGACATGCACGCTCGTTAGACTCGAAAAAAAAAAAAGTAAATCAAGCGAAAGCAGTCTCGCAAGGTGCACGAATGCATGTACTAACGAGTTCAAAATCCTCGCGCTTTGCAAATTGAGTGCAGTTTAAAATTTGAAGCCTTCGTTCAATTTTCAGGCAACTTTCTCAATCTTCCGGTCCTCCGATTAAATTCATTAAAATTAATTCACCGTCCAACTGACTGTTTCCACGCTTGTTTCCGAGTCACTTCCAGACAACACGATTATTCGTTATTCGCAAAAAGCAACAATGTGACAGCTGCGGGAATGAGTTCACAATGCTCATTGTAAATTTCGCGAAATTGTTTCTGCCCTGTTTGTTTCGTTTCAATGCTATCACGCCTCTCCCTCTCCTCGCCCATTGTCTTTCTTATTATTTTTTTTTCCTCCTTTCCTTTTGCGATTTTAATTAGAAAACGATGAAAAATCCATCGCGTTTGCTGGAGACCCAAGACTCATTTTGAACAAGATAAACCTGGCGAAATGCCGTCGCACCGGCAACACGAAAATTGCACATGCACGATGCATAGGAAATCTGCGTTTAACTTTTCAACGCATCCCGCGTGAGAACGCGGTTGCTGCGCAAACTTGAAACCGAATTTTATAGCATCACCTTAAAGTTAGGAATTCAAATTGGCAGAGAGCGCAAATTAACTGAGATTCTTGATTGAAAAATATATTTCGATATACACACACGGTGAAGAGCGTAACTGTGCCAATGACAATGAAAAATTGTCGACGTAACTTCGTAGAGAAAGATCGCGTAACGATTCCAAAGCCACTGTGAAAGTCGTGAGTTTAAAGAAAAATTAGGATGCTTTTTTTTTTTAGAAAATTATAAAGAGGAAAACAGATGCGCCGTTATTTGGAAAATTGAGGTACACCTTTGACAATCATTCTTCAAAACTTGTTGGACGATTTTTGTTTCGCTATTTTGTTGAATGTCAGAGCCAGGCGACAAAAATTCACGAAATTCTAACATTTCGTTATCTAACTCTAACGTTCAGAGTTCGGTAAAATGGTGAAAGAATATCGTACAGAGAGTTTTAAGGGGTCATTGTAAAATCTCAATTTTCAAAACCATGGTAGATTTAATCATGGAAAAAGATTTTCTGACGTTTCATTAGAAACGTTCGAATTTTTGTAATTTCTGAGAAACCATCTGATTTTCATCAAACTATCTTCCGAAAGAAAACGAACTCGCAACTGTCTGAAAATAGAAGCTTCATTCTTTTCTTACGAAATTATATCAACTTAAATTACCAACAATTTTCCATCATTGTATGATTTTCACTGCAAACAATAAAATTGATATTTTTCTCTCGCAACAAATGAAATTCAAAGGAGCTTCCCTCTTGTAGAATTGTTAAGTACGACTGTGTTAAATTTATCGTTGCAGGTAGTCGAGCGACAGCAAATAACGGCTTCAAAAGTTATCCAACGACGGTGAAGACCTTTGAAAATGACACGGTTCTGCTACCGTGTTACGTCGAAGATCTTGGTAAGTCATTTGACAAATCCTCGAGCGCTTTTCATTGAAGCTGCTGAAGGGACACGGGCACGATCACGAGGCCGATTATCTCCTTTATTAACGAGGTGGAAAAAGTCGAACGAGTGAAACGATAACGATCGAGTCTACAAAACGACTATGAAGAACTTAATTCTTCCGGCACGGGGGTGTTACAAACAAATATCACCTGTTGCGTCTCGTAAACCGCAACAACGGTGTAGCCGTAGATTTATTAAAACCATAACTGCTTTCTCTTTCTACGTAGAGAAGAACAAAAGAAAAAAAGAAAAAGTAACTACGAATCTCTTATTAATCGATGATTCGTTCATATTTCTACGTGTGTTACGATGAAATTTATTTCCGTTTTATTATCATTTATCAGTTACAGACTTATTATCATTCATCAGTTTCGTTCGTAATTGTTGGTAGTATTATATAAATCCTTTCGGAGGAAGTGGGTCGATCCTTGTTTTAACCAATACGCGTACACTACACGCACAGGCAGGAGATAGTGTCTCTATTAACTCGATCGAGGGTAAAGAGAGAACGATGCCGCAATTTCGGACAACGCGATCGATGTTAATTCCCCTAAGCAGGAACGCGTCCACTCGCGCGACATTCACGTGTACAGGTATAGAACGCAAACAATTTACTGTCCAATCGATCGAGCTGTCATCGATGGTTTCGCTTAACGGGATTGCCTGTCAGCCAGTCGCTTTACCTTGTCGCAACTCGGACAAGAGGCGGCGCGTACACGCGTTAAGACGATCAACGGTTCGTAAGATCGCTGCGGATTAAGGACTTATTTCAGATTGTACGCGGATTCTAGCCTAACCGCGCGAGACACCGGTTGCCTAACTACAATTCGTCTTGCCGATATCCACCAAGTCGAACTTGGATTAACGTCGAATTGGGTCAGAGAAAAGGGAACGTTCGGTTTGATTTACTTATCGGTTCGTACTTCGCCTAAACTGCGTGTAGGCACATCAGCCGCCCCTATTTCTAGACGATTGAGCATCGCCTCTAGCAGAGACCCGGAGTTATGGGCTTAAAAGTAACTTTGTTATATAGGTAGCGAGTATAGTAATAAATTTATTCGTGAAAGTTAGCGGAAAGTTTTTTCCACGTTGAGAATTTTCCTGTAGATATCGAGAACGCTCTCTGTCTATCGCGTAACACGATGTACTACGGTGTGTGTATATGTGTGTGTGTGTGTCTAGATAACGTGCAGACGAGGGTGAGGTGGTGGAGAGACGGTATCCTTTTGGCTGACAGCGGTGAACCACGACACGAACCACCTGAAAGAGTTAGAATGTACTCAAACAGAAGCTTGGAGGTTTCCCACGTGAGACGGAACGATACCGGGGAATATGTATGCCAAGCGTCTCGACCAGCTCCCTGGGGACATGCCACGCAAGTACACGAGATCGAAGTAATGTGTGAGTAAATCGGTATATTGAAGTAAAACGCTCTTGTACTTCTCATCTCCGGCAGAGATTTCCACTTCTCAGATCACCATCGGCGGTGCGTCGCCAACTCGTTCTCCAGCAATATGCCTTATGTACAATTGCAAAATTCCCTGCAAAATCGACAACGTTTCCCATCGTGTCTCTGTCGTTAATTGGCTCGCCAGAATCAATAGAAGAAACAGCGCCGATTAATTGGAATCGATAATTTAAGAGTTGGAAAATGGTTTGAGGAACGGGCGCCGCGTCTATTTTGTGGGAAAGTTAAACACAGATATTGATTCTATCGCCGTATCGTCGTTGGCGTGAAATTATGGATGACCCGAGAGTACATTCGAGCTCTCTACGTCGTTCTGCAAACAAATTCAGGAAAGTTTTCTCAGCCTCGGAATCCTCCACGGAGTTTTCCCCTCCCAGCCGGTAAGGATTTCGTGGTCCCATTTCGTGAAACTCTGCACGTGAAAATAAGAAAGAACCTTTCCAATTCGATCAGATTCGGCGGAATCGAACTTTCTCTTTTTTTTTTCTTCTCTATCCCACGAGATCGGCAACGCCTGTTTCTCTTCGTCCAACGATACACGCATTTACGTGTATGTATATATGTATATTCGTACATGTTTGAATCGCGTACAATTAACATTATCGAACGTTCGCTCCGTTGTAAATATCAATGGCGTTGTAACTCCGTAACGTCCAATTCCAAAGACATGCATTTTTAAGGCGATTTTAACAGTTTCAACATCGATCGCTTCAACAGTTTCCCTTCAAGTTTTTTGCTCGAGGACTTTTAACAGTTAACAAAGTAAAAGTAGTGGCGCAATAATTATCATTCAATAATCGACGCTTGTTTAACGTACGCATTCACGGAGGAAGTTACGAAACAAGGGGTTAAAAATAAAGGGCCGAAACGATGGAGAACAATGCTCGAACCTGGGGAATGTAAAATCGAGAAAACAATCTTGAATCTTTAAACGAATCTGTCAGAGCGAACTGTTACTTGCAGACCCGCCCAGCGTCCATCCGATACCGGAGTCTGGTAAGCTGGAGGTGAATTTAGGAGAGGAAGTGGACATGGCCTGTGTGGCAAAAGGTGTTCCAGTCCCCATCATATCCTGGAGGAACAAGGTAAACGACATCTCCACGAGCCGCGAAAATACGGGGCATGTGTGCCCCCTCGACAGGCACAATACCCTGTGAACATCAGAAACAATGAAAATATTGATCCCATTGACAGGACGGAGAAATACCATTTTTGTATGATAGATCACGTCTGCGATTCCACGCTGAGAGCCCCGCCGATGCTGGAAGATACACTTGCGTGGCAAACAACGACGTTGGCGAACCTGCCACGGCCACCATAGATCTATACGTTAGATGTAGGTAATCAAACTCATTGTCAGACGTATAATCAAGACCTACGATCAGACTCGCGTAATTTTCTTCGACCGCGTCACGATGGTTGATAAAGCTAGTGTTTGATCGACGATCGTTCGTACGCAGCGCGAATTCGTACGTACGTACATACGTATGTATGTACGTAGTCCGCCTACGTTCAAATTAATCGAAACCTTCGCGTACGCCTGTGTGGACGGAAGTGTGTACGCCGTCGTTGCATACGTTTGTCAAACGATTGTAATTAAATTAGGAAATTGCATCGCTCTCTTTAGTATTCTAATCAAACGACGGCACGATCTAATTGTAACCCCGCCACGCACAAGTGCGTCAAATCGTTTGCACGCGGTGACCTTTCTACGAAAGACAATCGTGATTTTAATTGAAAACAACGGTGCACAACGTTTCGCACGCGACAAAATTTGGCCGTCAAAGTTTGGTTTCTTTCACGAGCGTTCAACTTGTGATTAAGTGATTCATCGCGTTAAATGATTTGATAATTAAAAGCGTAAATGATCATTAAAAGCGCCGCTGATGTAAGCGCCGATGACGGTGAACCCTTTGAAGAAGGTCGACGTTTTGTATTCCGAGAACTAGTAAGCTAGTAAGAGTAATAGATAACGAGGTTAAATGAAACTCCCGAGAGATCCGCGAGACACTCGACCCTGTAAGATAAATTCTTCTCGTACGATATAATTCGATATTGTTCGAGGACCGTGCAGAGGAAAAGAGACGACGCGAAATTTCACTTGTCGTGCTTCTCAACTCGCAATTTTCGTCTTTTATCTTTCGTATAAACGAAACGTCTGTCTGTTTCAACGCGTCTGATGTCGCGACTTCCGACTGATCGACGATCGGGAACGACGCAGACAAGCCTAGGATCGAGATGATGAAAACTTGGTTACACGCACCCGCTGGAATACGCGTGCAGCTGCATTGCGGAGTGACTGCCTGGCCAGAAGCAACGGTGAGCGGTTTTACAAGACTACAATTATAATTCGAACAACAACGGTCAAACTAGTTTTCAACTTAGCTCGCGGATATCTTGTCGAGCGTTTAATCGCTTCACTGATTTTTGGATTTTCACGTTTCGACTGGACGCCATCGTCGATAAACTATACTCTTCGTTTCTCTTTTACCTCATTATTCGCTTCTCTCGATATCTGACGTTGAAAAGTAACATGAAAAAAAAAAAATCCAATGACTGCAACTGTATACCAGGTAGTTTAACATTACGACGAGTAGGTAAGCTCTCAACTGGCTCTGTCTGTGAAGCAATTTCTCTGAATCTATCCCTTGGAGGCAGTAACGCGCGACGAATCGATCGGCGGGAAACGTGACTCGCGATACTTCTTCTTATAAAAGAAAAAGGAAAAAAAAAAAGAAAAGAAAAGAAAAGAAAAATAGCTACTAGAGTTAAACTCCTCGCTGACGCGGTGATTTTTTCCACGCCTCTCTCGACAGAAGAAACGTTCAGAACGTCGCGTTGCATTCTAACAAACGGTCTCCTCAATCATATTACCGTGCCACTCTCGACTTTTAACTTCTTGCGCTGGAATGACGTTCCACGCACGTCGAGAATTTTTTGTCCCAAAATTGCAATATTTTCTCAGTTTTCTAAATATATTTAAGTATAAACCAGGCAAACAAATAATAAATTTATTACTTTTCAATAATTTCTATCCAGTGATATCATACCGATGAAAAGAAAGCGACGAATTGTTGTATACGGTTTGGTCACTCGTTATGGTCCGCAATTAGCTGCCAGCGCAAGTGGTTAACAGACGGGCACAAAAAAAGACTATTATATATCTAAATCCCTTTTTCCTCTAGCCTAATCTAATCTATAAATCTTTTCTTCTAGTCTAGTTCTAACCTATAAATCTGATCTACAGGTGGAGTGGTATTTCAATAACAGAAGCGTGAAATATTCGTCGAGGATAGTGAAGCACAACGCAGGCAGCGATCACAGTTTAGTGATAAGGAACGTCAGGACGACGGATTACGGTTTCTATCTCTGCAGAGCTTCTAATTCCTTGGGAATCACCGAGGCGGCGGTCGAATTATCGGGTATTGCGAATCCGGCCGTCTTTAAGAAGACCTCGCACAGCCTCTCGAAGACTTCGTACAATTTTGTCTGGGAAGTTCACAGTTACAATCCGATAGTGCAGTACGAGTTCAGATTTCGTAAATACGTGGTAAGATTGCGGCACTGTGATTTAGCTGATTGCAATTGGCATACGTTATTCATATCGTATTCTATCTTACAATGCCATTGTATTATTTATAACCGTCGTCAATTTTTCAATCTTTAGAACGGCGTGCCTGGTCAATGGCACAAATTGTACATACCGAGCGGCAGCGATGGAAATAGTTTCATACATACATACTCGTTCAAATTGACAGGATTGGAAGAGGCAACACATTACGAGGCGCTTGTTTTGTCGAAAAATCGTTACGGCTGGAGTAAGCCGTCGGAAATAATACGATTCGCAACGGAAGGCGCTCGTAAGTACAATAATACAAACAAGTAAACAATAAAATTATCTTAACTCGACTTGACTCTAAAAACGATCTCATTCCGTTTTATATAAATGGATATATGACTTTTTTTTCAGCGGACAAAGATAATTACATAACGAACGCGATACAAGAGGATAAGATCGAACCAGGTAATTTGATATTTTTGTCTTGTTGTTAATTATTCAGGGTGATTACAACAGGGGAACTAAACTGGGACAAAATCGTGGATGAAAAACCATTTTCTTTTTTTTTTCTTTGTAGCCGTGCAACTCGCATCGATGTCGCAACATTCTCCGTTGGACACTAGCGACAGCAGCGAATCTTCTTTTGCCCAAGTCAAAGTGATAACAATTATAACAATGATATTTATATTATACATTTTCAACGTGAATTTTTGCAAGTTGTGAGATATTTATATAAAACATACCAACGTTACATTAGACTAAGTTTTATGAGTAAATTAGGTCGAAAAAGAAGAAAGAGCCGTTAGTTGTGTCCTATATTAGGATAAAAATTTCATTGTAAACATTAAGATGTTTAAATTTTAAGATTGTAAATAAATTTCAACAAACATTAAATAATTAGGATACCATCTGTATAATTAAGGTACATCTCAATGCTCATTCTATTACCAATAATCACATATGTTTTGAGCTACAGTGTGTGACTAATTGCGCTCTTTGTTTTTAAATGGTACTGCCATCTAAGGCAACTTCTCAATTTCGACAGGAACTAAAAGGAGAGGAAGGAAGAACCCGATAGATGGTAACACACCATTATTCATAGATACAGTCGGTAATAGAATTTAATTTTGATAGTTTATATTTAGATGGTAGTACTTGTATTGTGGATATAGTGATTATGATAATTTATATTTATATCACAATACTATAAATAAATAATAACTCCGTAATTAATTTTAATTGTTTATATAAAAATATTATCAATATCACAAAATATACAATTACTAATAATTTAATGAAGATTACATAATGGAAGTTAAATGACGAAATAACGAAATGACGAATGAAGAATTTCTACTATGGCTACAATATATATAAGTGTCAGTAAACATTTCTATGGTGATAATAAAATTAATAGCTNATTTTTAAATATTCTATTGTTTATATTAAATACACATCTCGACGGAACATAGATGTCGTTGATCTAAATTCTTCGAAGTAGAGGTCGCTACATGGATATAGTGATTATAATGATAATATTATAATACTATAAATAAATAAGAACTTTGTAACTTTAATAACTTTTTATAAATTATATATAACAATGAAGTTTATAGCAAAAATAGATAAATGTTTTCAACAAATGTTAATTAAGGAATGAATAACTAATTCTAAAATGGAATCTATATATATATCTCTATAAACAAGTAATCATGGCAATAACATTTCCATAGTAATAAATAAACTATCAATTTACAATTTGTAATGTCGATTTACAGGAATCGTACTTTTCGACAGGACGATTGTGTAGATGGCGTTACTGTAGATTTTGGAGATGTAACGGTCGCTACATGGATAGATAAGGAGAGTGATAATATGCGACGAAAAACAGAGATGGTGATTAATTCCACCATATCACTGTTACGCGGCGCTAGTATTTTCTTGTCTATAAATCGATGAAATTATCACTTTTAAAAGAATTTAAAGGATAATCTGTGAACTCGTAACTGCATCTTCGTAATCAAATCCTCACCTCCTCTTCTACATTCCATTTACAAAATGCATGTAGAAGGATTTGGAAATATGTATGTTGATATCATTCTTCTTTGATGAATCGGTAATATAGTGTTTTGAATAAATAGAACGTAGAGTTTTGAAGGAGAACTCGCAAACCGTGTGATAAAGTACGGACCACTGTGGAGGTAGCCTTGTGACTTTATTTCATTATAATCCCGTAAAAACGCAAGAGAAATGTTGCTTTTTAAATTAAACCGGAATTTATTTGCTAACCTTAAGGTTCAAAAATGTCACGTTCACAGTATGCTGCAAATATGTAATGATAATTTTGAAACTAACGTGGGAAGACATGTAAAAGTACAGGTTAGCCGTATCTTATAGATCGTTTTTTTCTTTTTTTAATATATATTTCTTCTCCACGTTTTATATTAAATATAATGTAAATACTTCGTTTATATGGTTTTGATTATGAATATATATTGTTAATAATTTACTGAAGATAGGGTTGGGTTCATGCCATCAGAAAGATGAAAGAAAATATTTTCGTCGATATTATGGATGGATCAACTCCTAAAATGTTACAACTTGTTATACCAAAGGAGAATAACCCAGATAACTTGAGTTTTGGAAGTAGCATTGAGGCAGAAGGAAAATTAGCCTTAGGTCCCAACAATAGAATTGAATTACATACAAACAATGTTATTGTAGTTGGTACATGCGATGTTATGGACGGATATCCGTTTGCTCCAAGAAAACGGTATCACGAAGATTATGTTAGAGAATTTCTACATTTAAGACCAAGAACTAAAAAATTTTCATCTTTATTGAGATTACGCGACATAACATCTGCGAGTATTGAAAATTACTTGAGAAGCAGAGATTATATCAATATACACACACCGGTTCTAACTTCAAATGATTGTGAAGGTGCTGGTGAATTATTCTTGGTACAACCAAATTCTAAAGATCTCTTAAAATCTATGAAAAGAGAAGATTTAACAGAAGAGGAATCATTTTTTAATACTAAGACTTTCTTAACAGTTTCTAGACAATTGCATTTAGAAGTTGCCGCCAGGTGAATAGAGTATAGAGTTTTAGTAATAATCGAGTAGATGAACATTATAAAACTAAAGTACGTATAAAACATTTTAGAGCATTTACAAAGGTATATTCCTTTGGACCAGTATTCAGAGCAGAGAATTGTAATTCAAGATTACATTTAGCTGAATTTTATATGTTGGAAGCTGAATTGGCATTTATTAATAATATTGATAATATAATGATTGAAGTTGAATCACTTATAAAATATATAATTAAAGATGTATTTGAAAAAGGTGCTTCAGATGTAGATGCAATAGGTGGTTGTGAAATACAGTGGTTGAATGATAAATTTACATGTATGACATATGATGATGCAATTAATATTTTACAAAATAATATAAGTTGTTTAAAAAGTCCCGTCAAAAGTGGGACAAACTTATCGAAAGAACATGAATTGTTTCTAGTGAAACATAACAATAATGTTCCAATATTTGTTACGGATTGGCCAAAAGAAATTAAACCTTTTTATATGAAAGAATGTAAAGACGATGCGTCAAAGGTGAGTATAATTGATTTAATAAATTTTAAATTTAATAGTTTCACTACTTATTGTGAAAATGTATACCTAAAATATAAACCTTTTCTTTAAAGGTTTCTGCCATAGATCTTTTAGTACCTACTGTAGGAGAGTTAGTAGGAGGCAGTATACGTGAAGATAATTATGAAAAATTAAAGTCAAACTTACCCTTAACATCTAATCTTTCTTGGTATTTAGAACTTCGAAAATATGGTAATGTGCCAACTGGGGGATTTGGATTGGGGTTTGAAAGATTTTTACAATTTATTTTCAATATACCAAATATCAAGGATACGCTTCCTTTCCCGAGATGGCCTCATAATTGCAGCTTATAAATAAAAACCTTAAGACTTGTAATTATGATTATCCCACAACACATAGTACATATAATTATTATATGCAATTAAAATACTTAAAAATAAATTTTCTATTATATGGAATAATTAGAAGACAAATATTTTAGAAATTTGTTAGTTTATTTTATTATGCTTTTCAATATTACAAAATTATTATATTAAGGATACGGAGAAAACAGTAACATCAAATTATTTTTTTTTTTTCTAAAAATAAGATTTATTAAATATCGAGACAAATCCGAACTAAAGAATAACTTTTTACTAATACCTGTTTATTTGTTCAAATATTTTTATAGTTAAAAATTTAAACTCCTAAAGTTTTTCAGCAATAGCGATTATTATAAGGGATATTTTAGAAAGGTAAATTTAGTAGGATCATAAATAAGCAACCAAAGGAAATCAGACCCCGAATGATTAACAAGATTTTTTTTTATACAACAAAATAATCATTCTCTAGTAGTAACTGAGTTTCTTCTTTACCCAATATCGTCGAGATTAATTTTATGTTGGTATTATGTACATTATAATCAACAATTTTATATCACACAATTTGTACACCTAACTAAATTGGGTAATTTTTCATCATTTATGTGGGACCTCATTTTCGTGCTTTGTAAAATCAAATTAGGGGTGACGTTTCTAGAAAATAATGTATCGAATACCTTTCAAATGTTTTTACAAAGTACAAACGGTATGAAATTCTCAATTAGTCTTGTGCATATCAGTATTACATTTTTGACACTTCTCTGCCACGAAACATGATTGCACTCGATATTATTAGGAATGCTACTATATATCATATCTCGCCTCTAGACTGTTTCGATTACATTAAATATGTACAGTTTTTGTTCTCTTTTCGCCTTAATTAAAATTTAAAAACTAAATACACGCATACACTTACATAATCACACATTATAACACATATCATTTAACTTACACGACATGACATTTGAAAATAAATGTGATCAATTTTTTACCACATTAGCAGATAAAGAAATATTCAGATAAAAATTGTGCATACTAAACAAAAAAATGAATAGTACAATAAAGAAAGAAAGAAAAAAAGTTCAATAATCACATTAAATCACGTCGTATAAGCTGCACAAATATGATATACAATGCACCAATACTTAATTTTAAGTAGCATAAAACACAAATTCATTCAAATCACGCTCTCATACATACATATTTCAATTACATGTACTATTTACATAATTGAGCAGAGTCCTGATAACTCTTGCCCTCTTTCCACAGGAGGTAAATTTGAAAGTTTTCTACCTTGTAAAGCGGGTTTGATAGAAGCAGGCACCAAAGGTTCTATTATTTCTTCAGCAGGTGTCTCAACTATAGGTTTTTCTTTTTCCTTTGAATCTTCTGGCTCTTTATTAATACATAATGGTTTTGTAATATTAATTTTAATTCGAGATGGCGCCGCTGGAATCGCTGCAGGCGTAGAATCCAATTCTACATTTCCATCTATAGAACTCTTCACAGCAGCATATGTCGTATCAACCGTCGCTGGTTCAGCTATTACGCTTTCTTCAGGATCTACATATAAAATATCGCAATTTTTTAAAAACTCTGTATATCTTAAAAACTAAAATAATGGTATTAAATATACAATATATGATATATACCTGGTTCCGGTTCGATAGGTTCTTCTTTAATTTCTACATTAGTAAAGTCGAAATCTTCTTCTAATTGTTCCTCAGGTTCGTCAATTGGTTCTTCTTTAATTTTGATATTTTCAAAAGATTTATCCACGTTTTCTGTTGCACCTGTTATTTCTGTTTCGATCGTATCTCCTTTTTCTATACTTTCCATATCAACATCTTTATTATTATAGTTTAATTCTGATTCATCTTGTTTTTCGTTCTGTTCAATATTTACATTATCTTCAATTATAGTTTCTTCCTCTTTATTCTCCGTTTCGGAAGATTCTTCTAGTACTTTATTTTCCATTATTTCATCTAACGGTTGTACTGTTTCAAATTCAGTATTTAATGCTTCCATACTTAATTCGTCAGTCTTATTTTCCTCTGCAAACGTTTCATCTGGGCCTTCCTTTTTTTCTTCTTCCATTTCTTCTATTGTTTCCTCAAGTGCCAATGCCGATTTTTCCAAAGCTCTCTAATAGTATAAAATAATAATATAGCAATAAAAACTAGAACTATAAACGTGCAAAAAAATTTTGCGAAAATTAAAATTTCTTTCTATCTTACTTTCTAGCATATATATGAAAGGAGAATATAATTTCGAATTAATCATCTAAATTATTTATATCATAAAATAAAGTATGTACTAAATAAAATTTTAAGGTTATGAAATAATAAATATAATTTTGAATATAACTTCGTGATAATAGGAAACTATATACATTATACATTTCAATAAAAAGACTTGAAAAATTAAAGAATTAAACAAAATAAAATATATATTAGATTTTACATTACATCTCTTATTGTCTAATTATTTTCATATATCTATAAGTGCAAAAATGTTCTGCAAGTGCAATACATAAATACAGATTATTAAGAAACACATACCACAAGACTCTTTTCCTATTTTTTGTAAGAATGCAACAAATGGAAAATTCATTAATAAATCTACATCGATATTTGAGTGGTCGCAAGTGTGATAAAATGTTAACATAAAATATAAGAAAATGTAAAATGATAAAACTTACCTTGTAATCATCGAGACACAATGGATGATAATTCTTTTCTTCAAAGTTAATTGCCGGTCTTAGATGCCATTCCTCCTTTTCTTCATTATAAAATTGTTCAAATGCATCATGACATACTTGACATCTAGAATCCTCATCAGTTCCAGTGGGAACACTAGGCTGCGACGCTTCTTGAGGAGAATCCTCCGTCGTTACACCTTCCGTATCAGCCGTTTGTTTTTCAGTTTCAAACCAGCTTTGCACTAAATAAAGTGGAGGATAAATAAAGTATTAGATTTCTTATTCTAAAATATAGATCACTATAGATGATTTTGAAAATCTTACCTCTATCTTCTAAATCTTCAATTTCCTCAAATTGTATCCAATCACTAACATCATAATACCAAGGTCGTGAATGAGCCTTTCTGGCAGAATCTCTTTCTCGTCTATTTTGTCTGAAATGCCAATCTAAATGATGACTATACCGAGTTGCTAATTCTGGTGCAAATCTAGCGCCACAAGAACTACATTGCATGCCACTGTATAATGCTGCCGCAATAGCGGATTGTTTACTGAAATAAGGAATGTTTTAAATTTAAAATTAATTTAAAACAGAATCATTAATTAAAAGTAGCATTTATAAAAATTATACTCACACTTTAAGCGTTTCTGGTTTATCAAATGAAACCGGAATAATTTCTGGTTCTTTCTTCTCTTCTTCTTCTGGTTTCTTTTGTTCAGAAAGATTTGATACAATACCAGTTTCTACTAATCTCTGAAATAGTTCGTTCATATTCAATGGTAGTGATAATGGCGGAGCAGTTGTAGCTGGATTTTCTACTGGCTCAGCTTGATAAGATAATCCGGATGATGGTGCCATTGCAGATGGCAAGGCAGAAGATAATACATCTAATTGCAAATCTGAAACAAAGCAAATTTTCGCTACAAGTCTAATGCTATATTACACAGAAGAATATACTGTATTTCAGTCAAAATATTACTTTATACATTATACACCGTATATTTCTGTAAATATAATATTTACCCGGTTTAGGAGTAGATCTAAGATCCGAACCATCTTGTGACGTTGATTCATGCTCAACAGCAGAAAATTGCGTTGGCGTAGAGGTTGCATCTACTTTCGGTTTTTGGGTTAAAAGAGGTGGAGTAGGTGGTGCTTCAATAGGTTCTTCACCTTTCATACCTGCGATCTTAACATATCCTGGTCGGACGTTTCTAGGCAATACCGAAAATCTTATAAAATGCTTCTTATCTCTAACAATAATAGGTTTAGGCAATCCACCAAATTCCACTTTAAACGGCCGTCCATTTAAAAGGACTGTTTGTAACGAGTCTATAAATTCAAGTGTATGAGGTTTCCCTTCAATTTCGAATCTGTAAATATTCAAATCTTGTTTTATAGAGTTTTAAGCTGAAGTTTATAATAATACGAACGTAACTTACATTTGAGGTTTTGCGTCTAAAAATACAGGAACCATATTTCGGGCATTAATAATAAGATTAATTTTGGCAACTACTAAGTCTGTTCTCTTTACAGTACCAATTTTAACAAGGGGCGGAGGTCCTTCCAATTTCACACTAACTTTTTTACCACCAAGATCTACTGTTATTGGCATACCACCGAAATAACATTCATACCACCTATCATCAATATATAATTCTCTCGTTGGCGCACCTAATTTAATCCTGAAAACACAAACAAATCAATAATATCCATAATAATAACTATATATAAATTCAAATGCACGATATTAAAATACATACCTATGAACTTCACCTTCGTAAATAAATTCTTTATAATTATCATTAAATGCGCAGGTTATAGTGATCTTATCGTCTATTAAAATTCGTCGTATACCATCTTGAAATCCGATTTCTCTTGGATCATCCCAATTCATAAAAACTACTCCGGTTTGGCCGTAGTACCTAATTTCACGTGGTATATGTTGTATGTCTATATCTATAGATTTCATCGTATCTCTCGCAATTTCATCCAATAGTTTTGGGTCTGGCGGTGGTAATTCACGACTATGAGGATTTGGATTCTTTACCGTTGTTGTATTATAATTCTGATCACTATCTTCGATGTCATATTTTGAAGATGAACTCGGTGATACATTTCTCGAAGCGTTCAACGATGACATATTTGCATTTGATATAAGAGTCGACATTGGTCCATTATTCATCATCATTCCAGGCCCATTCATTCCCGATAATGATATAGGCGGATTAGGCATGCCCATAGGCCCAATCGGACCATTAGGTATTAAATTTGACATGAGCGGCCCATTAGGTCCCATAGGTCCCATCATTCCAGGTCCTAAACGAGGATTTGGGCCAATTGAATGATTAAACCCACCATGATATTGATAATCAGGTCGCATTGGTCCAAAGTGTCTTGGATTTTGCCATGGA